AGAGGAGTAGACACTCGGAAAAGAATAAGACAGATTTAAATTGAACAGGTCTGAATCAACGAACTATTAACATGTGTTTTTCAAAGGTCTCTCTACTCCCGAAACCTTAAATTTTGGACATATTGGACATTGAATAAAACCTCAAAATTACTGAATTTATTCTGTGGTTTTTACAATTAAACGCACTGATAACATGCTTTTTGGCTTTCATTGTTTTTAGCCCATCATTGCCTCTGAAAGTGTCAAAGGCGATTTTTTTGCGGCCAATTGAGTGTTTTCATCAATGCATGTCATTTCCTATCATTATGCCTCCAGCTGTTATCTTTGCTCGAATCGCTTCAAAATAGAAAGTGCTCCGGCAATACTATACATCATATGGATAAAATTGTCAAATGCTACGGACCTATTGCACCTTCGAGGCAAGATATTTCTCACTCTTCATGCTACAAGAAACCTAGTGCTTGAAAACCTTTGGTGAAGAACTTGTCGACAAAAAAAAGGGTAGGGTCAACTTGACATTTTCTATCATTTGTGATAGCTCGTGAACTTCGAATTCTTTTTCCATTCCCATGATGTCATTTTAAATCATTTGGCCTCGAATTTTCCAGCTTGAGGACAATATATTAGCGTGTGACTATTCAAACGAAAACTTCTTAACTGTAGGTTGTGCTGTTTTGTCCGTGATTTTGTGCAGGTTGATTCTTGTTTCCAAATTTGTGCAAAAACTCTTAGCCTGGTGTAATTCTTAACGACCGTGATCAAGCAGTGCGTTCATAATCTTGTCGCTCTTTTTTAGTAAGCTCAGCTGTACATTGTGATAACAACCCATGTCATCTTAACAAGAATTTTTTTAGTGTTGTTTTTTCATGTTTGTGTGAATTAGTTCGTAAGTGCCCTACTGATATACAAGCTATAAGAAGGCGTAAACTCAAAGCTACCTTACATTTGTTAATTGTTTTGTCCACCAATCCTCATGGCTAGAGATGTTAATTTCATTGTTACCTTGTACGAAAGCTTACAGAAAAATAAGAATCATTTTGAATCATTTAAGCTCGTAGCATGTACCAACTTTTTTTCTTCATCGCAAAACCATTTACGGATAATCGGCTTTTGGGACTTGTCAACATTAACCACCTGGGGAGGGGGGATAGTGGAGAATTTTGGTTGTGTCATAATTAAGAGTACCTAGTCCCCCCTCCTCCCCCCAAGGCTCTTTAATATTCTCATGATCGATTCCCTCCCTCATTACCAGTTAATTGCCAATCACTTTTTTATAGTTCTCCCCTCTATAATCTGTTAGGGTAAGTAATGACTAATTTTTCCTCCGTTCGCCCTGAAAACCATGTGATCCCCCAAAAATCCTCCCTTGCCCCCCCGGCGATAAATAATGAGTGATCCCCCGGTCAAAGTTTTTTTAAAAATTCGCTCGAGGCAACTTTGTAATCTCATTAATACATAAAAGATTAATAACGTTTATACTTTTATTAACTGAGTTAGCAGAAAACGTAGAGTGGTAAGGTTTATGGATTGGACTTCGGGGAGAGAAACGAAGTCTTTTGTAGTTAAATCTTTTATCGACCACACCTCTCTCTCAGCAATAACAAATCTTCATCATCATCATTATCATTACTTAATTTTTCAATTCGTCTACATGATAAAAAGGCCTCAGTCTATAATTTTTTGTCGACTTTTTACACGTTTGTACCACGTGACACGATTTTGCTGACATCGTTGACTGAACCATCCTCGGAGACCCAGGGGCTGTGGGTCGATTTCAAGTTAGGGCGTGAAGAGCCCCTGGGGACATTGTCTTACAAGACAAGTTCCAAACGGTCGCAGTCGTTCTGCCATCTGATTGGTGCCAGAAAATCTTTGTGTTTTTCTGCCCAATCAGAGTGAAGTGTGCTTTAGAGTCCTTTCGTGTGTTTTAATACGGACATATACTACTAGCTCAGCTGCTCGCTATGTTTGTTTGGACCGTGCGACGGAGATTTGCTTGAGGCGAAAAGTTTCAGTCTCGGCACACAATGTAAGAGAAATCGATCAGATTGTCAGCGAAAATCTTACCGGAAATTATACTGAATACTTT